AATTTACTAAAATAGTAGAAGGAATAATTTCTCCCATTAAAAAAGAGAGAGAGAGAGAGAGAGAGAATTAGAGGATGGAGGAAAATTGCCAGATGACAGAGAAAAGAAGATAAAAAAATGTTTTCTTGATTGGTCTAGGTTTCTCTCTTATTGCAGAGATTAACCCATCTGCTGTACTAGGTCTTGTAGGAGAAGAAGGAAGAGAAGGTTTGGAACATTCATATGTTGGGAACCCAATAAGGGATAAGTCAACAGATAACAGAAAAATTTTAATAGAAACTGTCTAGATTTGTAGTAGATCACATATACAAATTTATCAAACAAAAATGTACTGCCCAAGAATGAAAACTAGGAATATGAGCCAGGATAAAGAATTGCCAGTGACTGAGGGAATTAAGTGTGGTGAAACATGGTCAGTATTATTCAAGTTTCTAATCAAGGAAGTCAGGCTTGCAGAGTGGAAGCCTAAAGCCAAATGACAGTAAATGAAATCTTCTTCCTTTCTTGCATTTAATGTATTTAATTTTGTATTTAACTTTGAATAGTCTATCTCTGACCCGATTCTACTCTAAAAGATGTAAATTTCCTTCGTGGCTAAGAGACATTTAATTGGAAATGCTACATTAGAAAAGACAGGAGTTTCCAAAGATAACTGAAGGAGGAACTCGTGGACAAGGGGGTTAGGTATATATGGAGTGGAAGGTTTTTTAAAAAGAGCTCCCAGATAGACACTTGAAGTGGAGTTGCTCCGTTTTGAGGTGTGAAGACTTCAGTGAATTCCTGAATCGGAGTGAAAACACAAATCACTGGAATGGAGAACAGGGAGACACTGGATGGACACAGGCTGCCTTGGAGGTTTGTTATTTAGGAGAAGAACTGAAGTCAAGTTGGATAAGAAAGGTGTTTGCAAGTGCTGATGTCACCAACAAAGGTGGGAACGTGTAGCAGGGGGTGAACATGATGAGTGATGGGTGCTGTGGGAAGAATGAGCACAGCAGTTTCACAAACTACAGATATGTAGAGAACATGAGAACACAAGATCTGTGATGATAAACCTGTGATTTTTGTGGTACTGGTGTGCGTTGCTGTCAGTGTAAACTTACATGGCTGAGTGAGTGGGAGCTTACCTTCTCTGCCTTTTTTTGAACATTCATTAACTGTAAATTCTAACCCAGACAACAGCAAGTGAGGCGCAGTCCTGGCTCACAAAGCACTCACAATATAGTGGGACTGAAAATATTTCAATGCAATAAGTATAGAGAGGGAGAAACATGGCTGCAGAGGTGTGCATTTGTACAGAGAAAGTTGCTTATCCAGCCATTTGGAGGGATGAGAAAAGTCTTTCTAGATGAGAAATATAGATTGGCTATCATAAAGAGTTGGATGGAGGTAGAAGAAGCAGAACATATAAAAGACCACAGGAAAAAAAAAGAATATCTTTAGGGGCATACATGTATTCCAGTATGAGTAGAGAAAAGAGAAAGCAGGGAGGGAAAAAAGAGAGAGTGTGTGTATGTTAGTTGCATTAGTCTTTCAGAAAACGGGCACTGATTATCTATAATCACAATAGTGCCTATGCAAAAATATATTTTGGAAACATTATTTAATCATGAGGAATGGCTTGGAGACTAGAACTGCAGACTAGGAGACCAGTTGGGAGGTCTTCGGATAAATGGATCTAGAGCCTGGAAAGCAAGGTAAATGGCAATGTAGATTTGGGAGATATTATCACGTGCAAGCTAAGCGAAGCCAAGGTAGTAGACAAGATTTGCCAGAGAGGAAAGTGAGAAGAAGATGGCTACAGACCATTAGGAAACACAAACAGTAAAGCCTTCTGAAGGGGAGAGATGACTTTAATGAAAGCTGGATCAGGCCAGGGTACAAGAGAAGAACCAGTGGAAGGTAGGAAATCAAAACCAAAAGTGGCCTTTCATGGAAGAGTGATTTTTAAAGGAAAGAAGAGAGACAAAATAGTAGTTAATAGGAGAATTTACCAGAATAAGATATCTTTATTACAGCTGTTGGTTTTTTTTTTTGTTTGTTTGTTTTCAGTTATGGTTTTTTTCCCCCATTTATTTATTTTATTGCATTTTAGGTTTTGGGGTACATGTGAAGAACATGCAAGATTGTTGCATAGGTATACACGTGGCAGTGTGATTTGCTGCCTTCCTCCCCATCACCTACATCTGGCATTTCTCCCCTTGCTATCTCTCCCCAGCTCCCACCCGCACCGTCCCTCCCCTATTTCCCCCCAAATGACCCCAGTGTGTGGTGCTCCCCTCCCTGTGTCCATGTGTTCTCATTGTTCAACACCCGCCTATGAGCGAAAACATGCGGTGTTTGATCTTCTGCTCTTCTGTCAGTTTGCTGAGAATGATGGTTTCCAGGTTCATCCATGTCCCTACAAAGGACCCAAACTCATCGTTTTTGATGGCTGCATAATATTCCATGGTGTATATGTGCCACATTTTCCCTGTCCAGTTTGTTTCTGTTCTTGTTTTTGTTTTTGAGACGGAATTTCACTCTTGTGGTCCAGGCTGGAGTGCAATGGCACAATCTTGGCTCACCACAACCTCCACTTCCTGGGTTCAAGCAATCCTCCTGCCTCAGCCTCCCGAGTAGCTGGGACTACAGGCACACGCCACCACACCCAGCTAATGTTTGTATTTTTATTAAAGACAGAGTTTCACCATGTTGACAAGGATGGTCTGGATCTCTTGACCTCATGATCCACCCGCCTCGGCCTCCCAAAGTGCTGGGATTATAGGCTTGAGCCACTGCACCCAGCTTTACAGCTGTTGTTAATTTTTTGCATATCTTCAGGTTAAAAATATTTGAACGTACGTTGATAAAGATCCAGGATATTAGGAGAAGCTGAAGATAAAGAAAGAATAATTGATGAAACAAAATCTCTGAAGTGGTAGGAAAGAAAGATAATTCAGAGAATAGGTGGGGAAATTAATCTTGATGATATAGCTGTATACATTCATATCCACACGTAAATACATGTATATACATGCATATGTACATGTATACACATATGAATGCATGCATGTAAGTATGGGTATGTATGTTTGTGTGTATATGGTTGTTTTTAAAAGAATCTAATAAGTTAAATATTCATGCGGGAAGCACTTGGTTCATTTCCTAGCACCTCTAAAAAATAACTCAAGAAAATTTTCTTAAATAAAGTTAAATGTGTTCCAGCTATGACAAAGGAAATATTGGAAAATAGAAGATATATTGTCACCCCTTTCTCTGAGACTGGAGGAAATGAGGGGAGGATGGATACAGAGATAAATAAATTTACAGAAAGAGAATAATGTGAGGAATATGCTCATGATAGTCCTGAAATGTCAGTTACAAAAGAGAAACATTCAGTGGAGAGAGAAAAACAGAATTTGAGTAGTGATAAAAGTCGTACACTCATTGTGAGAATAGTTTAATAGGACTGAGGGGGAATCATGTGTCCTAATATGTACTAAAGACTACTTATGTGATTGTGTCATTTTCTTCACCTCCTGACTATGTAAGCTGAGGGTAACACTAGTTAGATTTAGTTGAAGTCTGAGAATTCACAGAGAGAATGCAGCAGAAACCAATGGGGACTGAAAGGTAATGATCCTGGCAGAAGTGGTAGACATCTAGAGTACCTAGGGAAGAAAGCTCAAAAAGTTCTTACATCAGTGGTTCACAAACTTCAGCATGAATCAGAATCACCTAGAGCTTGCTAAAACACAGATTGTTTTCTCAACTCTAGTTTTTCTCATGTAGTAGGTTTGCGGTAGGGCCGAAGAATTTGCAAGTTCCCTGATGATGATAGGGAGCTCAAGCTTCAGAAGCATTGTTCTATACCTTCCTTTCTTCTCTGGATGACAGCGCCACATTTCACAGCCACAATGCTGACTCAGGAGTCACACGCAATTTAATAAGCCTTCCATAGAGAAAATTTAGCTTAATATACTAAGAGAACAATTATGCTCATTTTTAAAATTAGAAAATTGTACTGGGCACAGTGGCTCATGCCTGTAATCCCAGCACTTTGAGAGGCTGAAGCAGCTGGATCACGAGGTCAGGAGTTTGAGACCAGCCTGGCCAAGATGGTGAAACCCTGTATTTCTACTAAAAATACAAAAATTAACCATTTGGTGGCAGGCACCTGTAATCCCAGCTACTCGGGAGGCTGGGATTGCTTGAACCTGGTAGGCGGAGGTTGCAGTGAGCCAAGATGGTGCCACTGCGCTCTAGCCTGAACAACAAAGCAAGACTCCATCGGAAAAAAAAAAAAAAAAAAAAATTAGAAAATTGTTACTCAGAGAAGACAGTGACTTGTCCAACATCATCCTGCCAGTAGTTGATAGAGCAGACCTCTGACCCAGGTTTTTTCATATCCTCTCCTGTGTTATTTCTAAATGCCATAGCTACCTTAACTGCCCTCACAGTTTACAGAGCATCTGTGCCTAAAGGAAAAGGGATGTAGGGTTAGCAGTGCCCACCACCCTCAACCCTACTCTTTCACATAATTTGCTAAGCAAGGGCAATTGCTCTTACTGTAGGACTGCAGTCCTCTCTGCCAGGGCCTGGGGCTTTTGCAGAGCTCATTACAGTTCACCTGTCCAAAGAGGTTGTAGAGCTTGATTTTGATGTTCTACCTATCCCTGCTCTTTTCAGGACCTATGACACTATGCTGAGTCTTGCAATGTTTTTAAGCCCTGTCATTTCCTTAAATTCTTAAAGCTATGTGGAGAGCTTCTGAATAAGAACACAGAGCCTGTCTGTGGGCAGGTCCTGTAACTGAGCAGAGTGTATGTGTGATTATTTGCAGAGAATATGAATGTGTGCAGAGCCTGTGTGTGATTATCTGTAGAGATATGCCCCTGTGAAGAGGCCACTAACTGTCATAGGGTCTGTAAATATATGTAGACCTTGTGGTTGTTTGCAAGCTTTTATGGACATTCTGCTAATATGTTTTAAAAAAAGTCTGAACCTGTTTTTCCCCCATGGCACAGGTGAGGGTCCTGCATAAAATCATGGCCCTTTTACCTGCTAACAGCATACCTGCTATGAACAACTCTGACACTCGCATAGCAGGCTGCTTCCTCACTGGCATCCCTGGGCTGGAGCACCTACACATCTGGCTATCCATCCCCTTCTGCATCATGTACATAGCCACCCTGGCAGGCAATGGCATCCTAATTTGTGTCATCCTCTCCCAAGCAATACTGCATGAGCCCATGTACATATTCTTATCTATGCTAGCCAGTGCTGATGTCTTGCTCTCTACTGTCACCGTGCCTAAGGTCCTGGCCAATTTCTGGCTAGGATATAGCCACATTTCCTTTGATGGCTGCCTCACTCAGATGTTCTTCATTCACTTCCTCTTTGTGGCCGACTCTGCTGTCCTGCTGGCCATGGCCTTTGACCGCTATGTGGCCATCTGCTCCCCTCTGCAATATGTCATGATCCTCACAAACGAGGTCATTGGGAAGATCGTCGCTGCCGCCCTGAGCCGCAGCTTCGTCATCATGTTTCCATCCATCTTTCTCCTCAAGCGCCTGCACTATTGCCGGATCAATATCATTGCACACACATTTTGTGAGCACATGGGCATTGCCCATCTGTCCTGTTCTGATATCTCCATCAATGTCTGGTACGGGATGGCAGCTGCTCTTCTCTCCACAGGCCTGGACATCATCCTTATTACTGTTTCCTACATCCACATCATCCAAGCAGTCTTCCGCCTCCCTTCTAAAGATGCCCGCTCCAAGGCCCTGCGTACCTGTGGATCCCACATCTGTGTCATCCTACTCTTCTATATCCCTGCCCTCTTTTCTGTCTTTGCTTACAGGTTTGGTGGGAGACACATCCCACGCTATGTTCATATCCTCCTGGCCAACCTCTACGTTGTCATTCCTCCTATGTTCAATCCCATTATTTATGGAGTGAGAACCAAGCAAATACTGGAAGGGGCTAAGCAAATGTTTTCAAATCTTGCCAAAGGATCTAAATAAATGCTTTCAACTTAGTCTCAACTTAATCCTTTTCTATACCTATCAGTTGTCATGTATTTAGCACATTCTCATCTCTACATCTTCCAATTATCCCTGTGTTATTCTCACCAATCTCCCAATTTATTTAAATATGTCATCTACTCAAACCCACCTCTGATTTTTTTTATCAGAAATCTTCAGTAAAATCCATCTCATCCTCTTACTCTTACTATTAAAATGCAATCTGATTTCCCATCACCTCAAGAAAAACTAGCTAATTAGGGGAAATGTAAGAATCTAATTTACCATCTAAGTGAGACTTTTCTCTAACTGCTTGCACTGGCTTCCTAATGTATTCTTAATTGCTTGTATATACTTTTGACATTTGCCATTCAACATCTTTCTCGTGATGAGAACCCTGGAGAACTGTCACATCAAAGGAGTTATAGTCTCATGGGATGATATTTTTCTTACCAGTTGCACAAATTCAAGATCATAGACACATATATACCCATGTTCAGAGATACTAATATAGCAGCAGCATAAATAGATGGACATATCCATTTATCAACTTTTATCAAATAATTCTGAACTAACCATTACCTGTTCTGGATAAAGTTTTCCCTGAAATGTAGGCAACCATATAGGATTCTTTTCCGTCCATATATGCTTTGTATTTAAAAGTTATATTCATCATTATAATTAGAAATAAAAATACCACTCATATATAATACCTATGGATTTATGCATTATTTAATAAATAGTTAAGGGAATATAAGCATCTATATGTTATTTAATAACTTGCTCAATAATATCTGCTAACATCAGGAATTAGCCTAGGGTGATGTTCTCTGAGGTTGAGAAGAGCAATTCAACCTGAATTGTAGCCCAAAACCAAACTATCCTTGAAAATGTAGTTCATCTCCCAACCCTGCCCACTCCTATACTCAGTCCACAGTGAAAGAGCCATCATTTGAGATTCTACCCCACTTTTCATCTAAATCACCGTTTTGTTGGGTCATGAGTATATTCCTTCTTGTTTTATTAGAAATCTCATGTTTGTGGCCAGGCGCGATGGCTCATGCCTATAATCCCAGCACTTCGGGAGGCAGAAGCGGGTGAATCACAGTCAGGAATTCGAAACCAGCCTGACCAACATGGTGAAACCACTTCTCTACAAAGTAGCCGGGCATGATGGTGTGTACCTGTAATCCCAGCTACTCAGGAAGCTGAGGCCGGAAACTCGCTTGAACCCGGGAGGCAGAGGTTGCAGTAAGCTGAGGCCACTGCACTCCAGCCTGGGCAACAGAGCAAAACTCCGTCCCCCACAAAAAAAAGAAATCTCATGTTTGTGTCTTAACTCCCTGTCTAGACTGTACATTTTCTGAGAAAGACAAAATTATTTTGAAGGTGTTTTATCATATTGCCCAAAAGCAGGAGAACCCTCCCATAGCAAATATGTAATATGTGTATATGTGTATAAAATTCTTCTTTAAAAATATTTAACATGACTTTTCCACTATAGATTCATTCTTCTTTGCAGGAGTTCCTCCTGGGAGACACTGGGACTCAATGTCATGTAGAGGAGGGAATTGTGCTAGGTGCCAGGAGACATGGATTTAAAAGTTAGGTGTACCACTTGTTCAATAAGCTTGGGAGTTTGCATAATAGCAATGAACTTAATTTTCTGCTCATCTTTGAAGAAGATGAGCAATCAATGTTCAGTTCATTTCCACCTTATTCTTTCAACATAGCTCTCTGCATCCTCAAGACAATGATAATAAAAATTAGAGAGAGGAGTCATTAGCATCCTTATGATATGGAAGAGAAAACTGTAAGAAGTTGTGATCAAGTTTTGAGTTCTAGATCTTTGTTGAAATTGATTTTGTTGGAAATGACTGTTCCATTTACCAAATGTGTAAGTCTGGGCAAGTTACTTTACTTCTCTCTCACCTTTTTTTTTTTTTTTTTTTTTTGATACAGAGCCTCGCTTTGTTGCCTGCACTTGAATACAGTGGCTTGATGTTAGCTCACTGCAACCTCCACCTCCCAGGTTAAAGCAATTCTTGTGCTTCAGCCTCCTCAGTAGCTGGTACTACAGGCATACATCACCACACCTGGCTAATACACATGTTTTTAGTAGAGATGGGGTTTCGCCATGTTGCCCAGGATGGTCTGGAGCTCCTGACTTTAGACAATCCGCCCACTTCAGCATCCCAAAGGGCTGAGGTTACAGGCCTGAGCTCTTGCGCCCAGCAACTTTCTCAGCTTTAAAAGTGAAATAATAATAACTTTCTCTGAATGATTTAATGAGAAATAAATATATATCTATCTTATAACAGTCTTTTACATATAAATAAATGTTCTACAAATGATAGCTTTATTTGTATTATTTCAATTATTATTAATGAATGGCTCATTTAACACTCATAGTGGTTGTCCTGAGACCTAAGCCGATTGTGTATCACACTACAACTTTGTTTCTACAAGGAGGAATAGGAAAAAGAAAACAAGAATAAAGCAGGAAAATATTTTAATCTAATACTTACAATAACTAAATTAAATCAAATGTAATTTTAACAAGTCAAAATTAAATGTATTTTTAAAAGAATTATAGAGATTTCTTTAAATACAACTATGCCACTGAAGACACATAAACTTGACTGCCGTTTTACAGACACACCAAGCTGATTTCCATCTCAGGCCTTTATGCTTGTTATTCCCATTTCCTGAAACATCCTTTTCCTACACTTTTACATGACTCATTTCCGCCTTTCCTTCATTTCTCTGTTTATATGTCTCTTCCACAGGAATTTCTCTATGATCTTCTAATAAGAAATACACCTCCCTTTCTTTCATGAGAAAAAACAAAGTCATAAGCAAAGAGACAAAAGTCAATGACAAACTGAAATCTTTTTAAGTTATAGGTAAAATGCTTGCTTTTCCTAATACATAAAAGTTCCTCAAAATGTAGAGGGAAAAGATTATCAAAAGTCTGATGAACATAAAGAACAGATGCATAGTTGGAATATGCTTTGCTTACTATTAATAAGAGAAAACACAATAAAAACTACACCAAGATACCATTTCTCACCTGTCAGATGAGTAAAAGTTAAAAGGATTAACCCTGTGTTGGCCATAATGTTAGAAAACAGAGCCTCTCATACTTTCTTTATGGAAATACCATACAATAGAATTAATGTAGAATTGTGAAACATCTAACAAAATGTATATGAATTTATTTATTTATTTATTTATTTTTATTTTATTTATTTAATTTTTTTTTTGAGACAGAGTTTCGCTCTTGTTACCCAGGCTGGAGTGCAATGGCGCGATCTCAGCTCACCGCAGTCTCCGCCTTCTGGGTTCAGGCAATTCTCCTGCCTGAGCCTCCTGAGTAGCTGGGATTACAGGCACGCACCACCATGCCCAGTTAATTTTTTGTAGTTTTAGTAGAGACGGGGTTTCACCATCTTGACCAGGATGGTCTCGATCTCTTGACCTCGTAATCCACCCGCCTCGGCCTCCCAAAGTACTGGGATTACAGGCGTGAGACACCGCGCCCGGCGTATATGAATTTATTATTTGATCCAGAAATCACATTTATAGCAGTTACATTTCGTATACGCCTCCTTACATACAAAATTATGGCATAAAAAGTTCATCATTATGACAAAATTTTTGTAACACAAAAGTTTTTGAAACAACCTAGAGTCTGAAATTCCTAGATTTCAAATCCACACCCTTATGCTTACTAAAGTATAAAAACTTACTAACTTTTACCAAGTTACACAAAGGCATTATAATCACACAGACAGGTTAGAGACTGCAGTCACTGTATTCAGTACATACTTCCTAACTGTTTGTCACCGGGCAATTTGGTAATTATCCTCTTTAACCCTGTTACCTTCTCTGTAAAAAAGAGTAACAATAACTGCTTCAGGGGTTGTTTTGTTTATTAATGAGATTAGCTAGATATAAGAAAATAAATAACTGGCATATTAGTAGATACTTGATTGCTATTAAAAATTTAACTATCACAAAATAGCTAGAATATATTTTTATTTCAAGTATATTTATGTGCACCTCTGGTAGAGCTATATGTTCACCAGCTGAATGCCTAAAAAACACAGCATCTTAACAAAAGAACAATAGATTTGTAAAAAGTGGCAAAAAAAGTTTTAGGCTTCTAAGGGTAGCAGACTGTAGGAAAGTAAAAATGTGGTGGAAACTAATAGAGGATAAGGGTTGATTAGCAAGGTTTGTGTAGGCTCTTTCTCAATGCCATATTGTCTCCGGTGATAGATTGTTATGCCCTTTGTGGTAATAATGGAGAGGTATGAGTCAAGGGTAGGGGTCATCTTCACAAGAGGAATTTGTGTTTAGCTTTTGGGCAGATAGGAAGAGGGCAGAGAGCTCATCCTGTGTCTTCTTTTTCTCAATTGCTGGGATTACAGGTGTGAACCACTGTGCCCATCCAGCTAAATTTTGATTAAGTACTTTTTAAAACTATTTGATTTGTGCTAAGGTCTGCTGTCTGTATCCTTCCCCAAATTTATGCCTTACAGTTACCCAAATTGCATGTTAAAATCCTGCCCTTCAAGGTGATAGGATTAAGAAGTGGGCCTTTTGGGAAGCAAAGATCATGAAGGCAGAGCCCTGCTAAATGGGATTATTATGCTTATAGTTGTAGAGAGCTTGTTCTTCCCTTCCACTTTTTGAGATAACAGTGAGAAAATGATGTCTATGAGGATTAGGCCATCACCAGGCAGATGGGCAAGTACCTTGATCTTGGACTTCTCAGTCTCTAAAACTATGAGAAATAAATTTCTGTTGTTTATACACTACCCAGCTTATGATATTTTGTTATAGCAGCCAGAATGGACTAAGGCATTTTGTCTCTCTGAGAAGCTGAATATAAGAACAAAGGAAAGCAAATCCTCCACTGGAGATGTTATGCTTTTTATGGTCTGATTTTGGGGGAATTATGCTATTTTGGGTTTAAAATGACAGTAAGCCAA